CGACTGGAAAGGTGAGGCCGGGGAAGGGCCACGCCCTCACCTGCGCTGCTCGCTCATGGTGCCGGCAGGTAAGGAGGAAAAAATGGGGATCCCAGGAGGCGCCCCCCCAAAATTCCCGCTTTCCCCGGGTGGGATTTTGGGGGGGATTTGGAGAAGGAGGCACCGGAACGGCGCGATGGTTGTGGGTTTGTTGTTTTTTTTTGGGGGGGGGGGGGTAAAAACACACGACCTCGCGTGTTTTTTTTCCAGCTGGATTTGGAGAGGGAAGGGAAGGAAAAGGAAAGGTGGGATGGTGGAGCGGGAAGCGGGAAATCCGGCAGGAAAGCTGGGAGGGAAAGGGAAGGGAGGCAAAAAGTGCTGATCCCACGGGATCATCCCGAGAGGATGAGGGGGGGAAGGATGAGGGGGAGCAGCTCCTGCCGGGAATGGGAATGGGAATGAAGGGGAAAGGTGCTGCCGGTCCTAAAAGCGGATTGTGGGGATGGTTTGCTCGTCCCACCCTCCTGGAATGGGAATGGGATCGGGAATGGGGCGGGGGGACACACAGGGGGTGCATCCCCAATGCTCCTCGAAGGAATTTCGGGATCAGAGCAGCGGAACGGGGAGGGGAAACCTTGGGAATGGCTCTGGAATGAGGGGCCCGGGAATGAGGAAGAAGAGGGTTTTTCACGACCCTGCTTTAAAAAAAAACACGTGGAAATCCGTCGGGATCCCTTGGGAATTCCCGCTGGGAATGAGTCACAGCCCCCCCCCCCCCGGCTTTAAAGCAGAATTCAGTTTAATTCAAAGCTGGGATTAAAGCAAAGTGGACTTAAAGGAAAGCCGATTTTAAAGCCAAAATAATCAGGTTTAATTCAGAGTCTGGTTTAATGAAAGGCTGGACTTGAAGCGAAATTGGGTTTAAAGTGAAGCGGGCTGAAAGCAAAGCCAGGTTTAAAGGACCTGGTTTAAAGGAAAACCGGGATGGAAATAAAATCGGGTTTAATTTCTTTGAAAAGAGAAGTTGGGGTTTGAAGCGAGACGGCGTTTACAGCAAAAAGCGGGGTTTGAAAGCGAACAAATTAAAAACCGAATTTTAATTTAAGCAAAGCAGCGTTTATTGCCAAACTGGTTGTAAAGGAAAACCAGGTGGGGGTTAAATCAAAACCGAGTTTCAAGAAAAATGGGGGGTTAAATCACAGCTGGTTTTCAGTCAAACCGAGTTTAAGGGGGGGATTTTCCTGCTCCGGGGGAGGAGCTGCCGGAACCTCGTGGTTCCCACTGCTGGGAGGGGAGAAAAGAACTTTTTTGGGGTGGGGAGGGGGGGAAATTTGGGAATTCCTGTGCCTCCCTCGGCCCCAAATTCCCGGCTCGTCGCACCCCCCCGCCCCCCTCCACACCCCCCCCCCCCCCCCCCCCCCCCCCCCCCCCCCCCCCCCCCCCCCCCCCCCCCCCCCCCCCCCCCCCCCCCCCCCCCCCCCCCCCCCCCCCCCCCCCCCCGGGCCGAGCTCCCGCCGCTCCATTTCCTCTTTGGCTTTGTTTTTAAATAAATAAACAATTAAATTTGATCCTCTCCCGACTCCGCTGAGTCACCGAAGAGTCCCGGAGCCACCGCGGGGACCGTTTTTGTGGGTGGGGTGTGTGTGGGGGGGGGATCCCCCGTGGGGGCAGAGCCGAGGTGGGTCCGGCCACTCAACCTTCCGCTTTTGGGGCGATTTTGGGGGGCATTTCCCGGGGGGGGCTTCGGGAGCTCCAAATTCTGGAGCAAAGCCAAGCGGGGGCTGCTCATTCTTCCCCCCCCCCACTCAGCTCCAGTAACACCAGTGCTTTACTGGGACTGTCCCGCCCAGCCTTTCGGGGCGTTTCTCGCCCATTCGCGCCCTTTTCATCCCCTATTTTCGGTATCTCTGGAAGGGCTGCGATCCCAGCGGGGAATTCGCTCCCACCTGAGCGCGGGTGACGGGGCGAGGAGCGGGAATTCACCCTTTTGATCCCAATTTTTGGCAGCCCCGCCGGATTCCCGGCCCCTCTCCTGGAAGGCATGGAGGGAGCTCGTCCCCACGCGAGCTCAGGTGAGCGCCTGGAATTCCTTTTATCCCATCCCGGGGGTCTCCCCCGAGCTCGGACCCCTCTTTAGACCCTTCCTGACATTCCTATCATTTTATTTTTTATTTTTTTTCCCAGATCTGACGACCCCGGCCCTGAGGAAAGCGCTCACCCCCCGGAGCCACGAGGACGCCGACACGGCGGTGATCGCAGGTGAGGCGATTCCAGGGCTTAAAAACCCGCTAAATCCTCCTAAATCCCGCTAAACCCGCCCTTCCTCCCCCCGCAGTGACCATCACCCTGGTGTTCCTCACCCTGCTGACGGCGCTGGTGGTGATTGGCATCTACCTGTACCGCAACAGGGGCACCTACCACACCTACGAGCAGCCCGAGCCCCACCCGGACCCCGACCCGGCCGAGGAGGAACCTCCGGCCAAGGAAAAGGAGGAATATTTTATCTGAGCTCAGGGAAATCCCTGGATCTTTTAGGTTTTTTTTTGGAAGGGGAGTTAGGGATCCTAAACGAATCCCTCGGATTTTTTGGGGATCTCTCGGCCTGAATCGCTCGGAGTTGGGAGCCCGCCTGGACATCCCGGAGTGCCTGAATTCCCTGGAGTATCTGGGGGTATCTGCCTGAATTTCTTGGATTTTGGGATGGTGCCCAAATATCCTGGAGCTGGGGGTGTCTGCCTAAATTCCCTGGATTTGGGGCTCTGCCAAAAAAATCCCTGGAGTTGGGGGTATCTGCCTAAATACCCTGGATTTGGGGGTCTGCCTGAATTCCCTGGATTTGGGGGCTGTACCTGAATTTCTTGGATTTTGGGATGTGCCTAAATATCCTGGAGTTGGGGGTATCTGCCTAAATTCCCTGGATTTGGGGGCTCTACCTGAATTTCCTGGAGTTACGGGTCTGCCTGAATTTCTTGGATTTCGGAGTCTGCCAAAATTCCCTGGATTTACGGGTCTGCCTAAATTCCCTGGAGATGGAGATCTGCCTAAATTCCCTGGATTTGGGGCTCTGCCAAAAAAAATCCCTGGAGTTGGGGGTATCTGCCTGAATTTCTTGGATTTTGGGATCTACCTAAATTCCCTGGAGTTGGGGGTATCTGCCTAAATTCCCTGGATTTAGGAGTCTGCCTAAATTCCCTGGATTTGAGGGGCTCTACCTGAATTCCCTGGATTTTGGGATCTACCTAAATTTCCTGGGAATCTGCCAAAATTCCCTGGGTTTGAGGATCTACCTTAGGGTTGAGCTGCTTTTTTTTTTTTAAGGAGTTTTTTTTTTTCCCCCCTCACTCTTAATTTGTGAAGCCAAGCAGGGAACTTGTAACTTTATTCAATGTTTTAAAATAGTCCTTTATTTTCTTTTTTTTTTTTTTTTTTTTTTTTTTTTTTTTTTTTTTTTTTTTTTTTTTTTTTTTTTTTTTTTTTTGGGGTGTTTTTAGTATAAAAAGTCCCCAAATTCATTGCAGGACAAATGTCCAAGGGCTGGGACAGTCGGGGGGGGGAGGTGGGGTCAATAAAAATGGATAAAATGGAATTTGAGCTCTTTCTTCCTCAAATAAACGACTGAAAAAGGAGAAAAATCCCCCAAAATCTCGAGCAGCCCTGAAATGTTCTCCTTGGGCTTATGGAGGTTTTGGTTATCAGTGAAGAAACGAGTCATTGATAAACTCATTGACAAGGCTATTGATAAATCCATCGACGGACCCATTGATAAATTTATCCACCCTTAAATCCATTGATCAACCCCTCAATAAACCCATTGATCAACCCATCAATAAACCCATTGATCAACCCATCAATAAACCCATTGATCAACCCATCAATAAACCCAACAATACACCAACACATTTATAAACACATCAATAAATCAATTGATAAACCCATCGATGAACCCATCAATAAACCCATTTATAAACCCATCAGCAATAAATCCATTGACAAACCCCTTGATAAATCCATCCATCGACCCATCGGTAAGCCCATTTATAAATCCATTTATAAACCTGTCAATGAATCCATTGAGAAACCCATTGATAAATCCGTCTATAAACCCATCAATGAATCCACTGATAAACCCATTGATGAACCAATTTACAAACAGCCCATTCATGAAAGCCCATTGAGAAACAACCCATTGACAAACCCATTAACAAATCCATTGACAAACCCATTGACAAACCCATCGATAAACCCATTGATAAACAACCCATTGACAAACCCATCGACAAAACAATTGATAAACTCATTGACAAACCCATTGACAAACCCATTGATAAACAAGCCATTGACAAACCCATTGACAAACCCATCGATAAACCCATTGATAAACAATCCATTGACAAACCCATTGACAAACCCATCGATAAACCCATTGATAAACCCATTAACAAACCCATTGATAAACCCATTGATAAACAACCCATTAACAAACCCATTGATAAACTCATTGACAAACCCATTGACAAACCCATTGACAAACCCATCATAAACCCATTGATAAACAACCCATTGACAAACCCCTTCCTTTGTCCCCTGCGTTTTCCTTCTGGGAAAGGGGATTGTCCCTCTGGGAAAGGGGATTGTCCCTCTGGGAAAAGGGATTGTCCCTCTGGGAAAGGGGATTGTCCCTCTGGGAAAGGGGATTTTCCTTCTGGGAAAGGGGATTGTCCCTCTGGGAAAGGGGATTTTGCCTCTGGGAAAGGGGATTTTCCTTCCGGGAAGGGGATTCGGGGTTAAAGCGAGGCCTCCCGCTCGTCTCCATGGCAACGCCCAGCCCCGCGCTCCCATTGGCTGATGCAGCCCTGGTCCCGCCCTCGCCGCGCTCCCATTGGATGGCACGGCCCTGGCCCCGCCCCTCACCCTCGCTCTCCCTTAAAGGCACCGCGTCCCCGAAATGGGGGGATGGGGGGGGGAGTGGGGGGGGTAAAAAGGGGAGGGGGCGACCCCCCCCACCACCCCCAACCCCCCCATCGGCCCCTCCAGGCCCTGCCTTGGCCCTGGTGGTGGCGGCGGCTCCTCCCGGGGCGCGGGGACATCGGGTGGGGGAGGAGCAATAGGAGGGGGCGGGGCGGGCGGAGAGGGAGGTGACGTCACGGAGGGCGGGGCCACACGCTCTTAAAGGGGCCGCGGGAAATTAGGGGGCCGTGGGGTCTCTATTAGGGGTCTGAGGGGACAGGAGGGGACAGGAGTCCCCAAAGGGAGGGCTGAGAGAGGGGGGGACGGATCTCAACATATAATATATAACTTATAATATAGTATTTTATAGTATAAATAATGTAAATTATAGTTATATATTATATAAATTATGTAATTCTAGAATTATATTATTATATAAGATATTATATTTAATATTTTATACAATCATATGTTATATAAATTCGAATACAAATTTAATATATAATGTAAATATTCTATATTATATAGGATATATTAATAATATATGATATAAATACCATATATTATATATTATATATTATTCAATACATTATTAATATATACTATGTGTTATATAAATACAATATAATATATATTTTATGTAATACATTATAATATAATATAATATATTTTATATATAAATATGTATTTTCCTTATATATTTTATATATAAATATATAAAATAAATATAAATATATAAATAAAATAAATAATAATTATCTGTAATTTATAATATAGAAATATATAAAACATAATATATCATATAATATATAAGTAAATTATAAATTATATCCAAAAATATACATAGCATATGCAAGTACAGTACATACAACCATATAATACATTA